AAAATGCACTTGAAATAAGACAATGCAATTGCATTGTCTTATTTTAAATGTAAATTGCCTTGTTCCATTTGCAAAATGTCTCTTTTACTTCCTCAATTCAAGAGAAATTCACTTATTTTAAGAAAAAATGACTTGTCTAGATTTGGATTTTGTCATTATCTACACTGCAAAAAATGGAAATCTGTATGAGTTATTTTTGCTTAAATTGAGTGAATTTTGTCTTGAATTGAGGAGATAAGTGAGACACCTTGCCAATGGAACAAGAGAATTTACATCTAAAATAAGAAAAAAACAATTGCTTTGTCTTATTTCAAGTGAATATTATCTAATTGTCTTATTTTAGGAGTAGAAATACTCATTCCATTGGCAAATCGTCTTATTTACCTAGTAAAATTAAGGGTAAATGCACTTATTTTAAGAAATTTTGTACTTATTTCTAGATGGTTTTTGCAGTGTATTTATCTTATTTTAAGTGTAAAAATACCCATTCCATGTCATTTATCTAAAAAAAAATTGGCGTAAATACACTTAATTTAAGAAATTTTGACTTATGTCTAGATCGTTTCCCAGTGTGAAGTCCATACACTGCAAAAACGATTTGAAATAAGACAATGCAATTGTGTTTTCTAATTTTAAATGTAAATTGCCTTGTTCCATTGGTAAAATGTCTCTTTTACTTTCTCAATTCAAGAGAAATACACTTATTTTAAGAAAAAAATAACTTATCTAGATTTGGATTTTTTTTCCAGTGTAGAAATCCAGATAAGACATTTTTTCTTAAAATAAGTGAATTTCTCTTGAATTGAGGAAGTAAAAGAGGAATTTTGCCAATGGAACGAGACAATTTTAATTTAACATTAGAAAACACAACTGCATTGTCTTATTTCAAGTGCATGTTATCTAATTATCGTATTTTAAGTGTAAAAATACTCATTCCATCTCATTTATCTAAAAAAAAAATTGGCGTAAATACAGTTAATTTAAAAATTTTGACTTATGTCGAGATCGTTTTCCCAGTGTGAAGTCCATACACTGCAAAAACGATCTGGAAATAAGTCGACATTTCTTAAATTAAGTGTATTTACACTTAATTTGAGAAGGTAAATAAGATTAATTGTCAATGGAATTAGTACTTTTACTATTCAAATAAATTTATTAGATAATATTCACTTGAAATAAGAAAATGCAATTATTTTTTTCTTCTTTTTAAATGTAAATTGTCTTGTTCCATTGGCAAAGTGTCTCACTTACTCTTCAATTCAAGACAAAATACACTTATTTTAAGAAAAAAAATACTTATTTAGATTCAT